AGGCTTCATGGTTGACTCGGTAGCTTTGGCTTGCAGCGGGCCCTGGGTAGAAACGTTGAGATAAAGCGAGCTGCGAACGGTGACGTGACTCAGGGATATAGCCCTGGTGTAAGACAGCCCAGCCTGGAGCACAGCAACCTTTGTAGCTGTGAAATGGCTGCCGCTAGAGGGACAGCCATCTTAATTATTAATCCGTAACCTCAACAAGTGTTACAGCCTTTACGGGTCGCATCCAGCGCGTCCTCAGCTCTATTTCTCACCAGTGAAGTAGAATGATTTGAGAGCAGCTTGCTGCTGGGGCGTGCAGAGCTTTGTGCAGGTAGTTTCATAATGTATAGTCACGGTGTTGATGTGGCTGCTTTGTGCTTTGCAGGTGCTGGTAGAACTGCAGAATAAAACTATTCCGTTTGTACAGACCTGGAAGGCAGATGGCTATTTTTTCATTGTAGGTGCAGTAAGCTGCATTTAGAATAGATTGAAGATACAATACCTTGAAAATTCTGTTGGGAGAGGGGAGAAAAAGGTATTAACTCATATTTTTTTCACAAAAGGCTTGTGCTAACCTAGCAAATGAAGGGTGTTAAAACCCACACGAACAAACCTCAAAATCCCATGCAGAACTAGTCATGGTTTAAACTGAAGCTTTTTTCTTTATTATTATTTCATGTGAAAGACTGACTACAGGAAAGGAAATGAGACTTTAAATTGTCATGGGCAAAATATGCTGATAAACTGGATGACAACTGTTGGTGTGTTTAATTAGCCTTGAACTTTCTGCCATAATGATGGTGGTGGTGGTTGTCATTAAACACCTTGATTCATATAAATTATGACCTCCCCTTCCCCACCCTCAACAGGAACAGAGACTGGGTATTCCACAACAACGGTAAAACCAGAACCAGCTTCTGAAAGCACATGCGTGCAGGAAACGGTGGTGAGGAAAACTGAGGATATGACAGGCTTCATGGATGACTTAACCCTCAGCTCACCGAAGAAGAGGGAGTCGTCTCTGAGATCCAAGAGGAGTTGTGATAGGTCATCCACAAGGTCATCCAGCAGATCCTCTTGCAGTTCACGGTCCAGTTCAAGTAGTTCCTCTTCAGCTTCCTCCAGGAGTTGGAGCCGTTCCAGGTCGAGGTCACGGGCTAGAAGAGCCAGTTCCCGAAGGTACAGAAGATCCTCGCGCTCATACTCCAGAAGCCGGTCGAGATCCCGTGGCTACACGCGGTACCGGGCCAGGTACCATGTCAGATACTACCGCAGGTACCGCCGCACTCCGCCGAGGTACCGATCCCGCAGTAGGTCCTGGTCCCGTGGAAGGTCCTATTACAGAAGGTCATACTCGAGGAGCAGATCACGTTCTAGATGCCGAAGATATTATGGATTTGGGAGAACAATATATCCTGAGGTTTACAGGAGCTGGAGGAGCAGGTCACGAACAAGATCTTGGAGTAGGTCACCTCTCCATTTGAGTGCAAAAGGTACTTCTTTTTTGAGCCTTTGTGTGTGAGAACCTCAAAAGGTACAATTCATTTTAACCGGGCAAATTCCCAGCTGTTCAGCAGCTTTACAGAGCAGAATTGAGAATGACAGTGGGTGGTTTTAAATATGTGTTTTTGAAAAAGTAGTTCAGAGCATATTCTTAGCACTTGAACTGAAACTAAATCTCGAGTACTGGTGGAAATTGATCACAGTGAATGCTTACACAGGTGCAGTGATAGTAAACCTGCAGGTTTTAGGCTTGTGTGAATAGTTAGGTGTTAATTTAAATGTAAGAGAAGACACTTCTCTTTTTTTGTAGACAAGAGGGAACTCCTGGAAATTGCAAAAGCAAATGCTGCAAAAGCTCTGGGAACAGATAACATCATCTTGCCAGCAAGCTTGAAGATCTTTACTCCTCCCAAAGAAAAAAGAAGTGCAAAACAAAAGCAGGAAGATCCTGGGGAGTCAGCTGAGGTAAGTATGAACTCGAGTACTCTCAAGGAAAAGGTAAACCCTTCTTAACTTGGCTCTGCATGGATGTCTCATCGGTTTTAACTCTGGAGTTTGTTGATTATGAATTCAAACTGTTGAACAAAAACTTCAGATTTCCCAGAGTGGTAAAAACTGCTCTAGAAACCACATTGCTCTGAGCTGAAAGAATTGTGGACTCTTGTGAGGTGGTTGATCCACTGACTACCTGCAGGCTTCCAGTAGTGGCAGGTTGGGAAGGAGAGGTGAATGCAGTCTGTTCCTTTGAGTTGTTCTTCTAAAAGGATATTAATTAGACTAGTTTATGTGTTTCTGACCTAGAACAAGAGTCCCCTTACCAAACTGAGTGAATAGTGTGGGGTTTCTTTTTTAAAGTTAAATCTTTCTACCCTTTTTAACTGTTAAAAACTTTTCATGTGCAACAAACTGTTTCCCAGAAATTACATACCAAAGCACACAATGCATTTTACATACTTTATTTCTGTCTTATAGAAATCATGACTATGGTTCCAGACATGATGAAGAAAATCTGTTGGTAATTAAGGGACTTGTGGGCTGTAGCTGCTGTGAATTTAAGGGAGGGAGAAACTCGAGCAGCTTAAACTGGATGTTAGTTTGGCTCCGTCATTACAGTGTAACCTGGTTAGTGGTAAATGCAGTACTGCAGTAACTGTTCCCATTGAGCAGATGCTGCTATTTCAAATGCAGTGAATTTACTGAGGGGTTTAGAGAAATGGTACAGGCATCCCGTTCATAATATATGCAATATATTCCAGATGTTGAGAGTACAGAAGAAGAGGCCTGCATCACTGGCAGATAAGTTTATTGTTGTTTCCAAAGCTCTGCAGGATGGATATGCAGAACTTAATGCAACTTGCTCTCCCACTGCACTGTGGGGCAGTCCATGCTTCCAATTGGTGGAATCCTTTTAAAATCTGTAATGGGGGCATGGATATCACATGAGAGAACTGGGACATGGACTTTGGGGGAAAAACACTGAATGCTTTCAAACAGAGCTTGACATTGATCTGTTTGGATATTTAGTAGCTTACAGCTACTCTTGATGTAAATACCTTGAAGCAATTCCACCAGAAAGTTCATGCTCTCTAGTAACTGCCTTAACTGCATTGAATAATGTATCCTCCCACCTAAGCTGTTTGTGCTCTTCTCTAGCGACCCACAAGACCAGCAGAAAACCTGACCAAGAGTGGAATAGAGAGAACAGCCATACAGAAGAGCATTTCCTTCAGTCCTAATGTAAGTGTGGCCTCCCAAGGTACTCCCTCACTCTGTTAGGCTTGTTCCAGCATTGGTTGCCAAGTTAAACTTAATAATGCTAATGAACTTACTGATTTAGTAATGAGTTTCCTGGAGCTGGATCAGTCCTTCAGCAGCAGAGCACTGTAAACACTATAGCAGTGTGTTCAAAATAGATGTTTACCTGATAATGTCAAATGTATCTACTGCGCTGTAGGCTTGAAAGTGTATGCCAGAAGTGGTTTACACCAGAACTTAATTCAAGCTACATGTTTTAGTAAAGCAAACAAAGGAAGAAGCAGCTTCCCCAAGTCCTGTGTCAAGTGTCCATATATGATACTTGGAAGGCATCAGGTCTCCCATGAGCTGAAAGCATTGTCCCACCAGTGGAAGCTGTCAGGTCTTGGTGCGCTCCTTCTCGGGGCAGCATTTTTAAAGGAAACTTGTTTTTTTTTCCAGAATACAATGGCAAAACCAGTCCTACAGAAGCCAGTGAGCCAAGTGGTTAAAGAACCAGCAATCTCCCCGGCAAGAGAAGATGACAGGAAGGGAAGTCCCTATGGACAGTGGGTTCCTGTCAGGAAGGAGGAGAAGAAAACATTTCTCAACTTCTCACCCAAAAGCACCTTGTTCCGGGCACGCTGACTTGTTTTTCTTTGTCTGACTGCAGCATTGTGCACACTTTGGTAGTGAGGGCTGAAATGGTCTGATCAGGGTGAAGACTTGTTAATACTAAGTATTCATTTTGAGATCTTAATTGTGGAATCTTAGGTTTCTCTTTCAGATCTAGAGCACAGTGATCCGCCAGCCACAGATGGGACTCTTGTGTATAGTTGTACGTGTTTTGTATTGCTTTAATGGACTAGAACTTACAGGTGGGTAACTTTTTCTAAACAACTGTTCAGTAGCTGTTCTTTTGAAGTCCTGATTTACATTGTGTAGCTCGTCAAGTGAATAAACTTTAATTTTGCACTGGCTTCTCAGCGTGTTGAGTGTTAGACCTGTGTTGGGTGTTGAGCCGGCTGCACACTGTGGCGGTATGTCCAGGCTGAGCTGTTGCTCACCCTGCTGTTACCACAGCCTGCAGTAGCAGGTGATTCCTGGACCTTCACACTGGCTTGGCTTTTGTAAAAGTAAATTGCTGGTAAAATAAAGGGAGTTTAACTGCTCCAGTGAGAAACTATTAGATGGCCAGGCAAGGCTGCCCCTTTCCCATACCCTCTCAGTAAGTGGAGCCCCACACTCATCACACAACAGCCCCCCAGGGCAGCTGCTTTCACAGAAAGGTCCCATTGTTCCCCAAGTGTGCTTTCACCTCCCTGCTAAACATGTCATCAGGAGCTTGGGCTACAGCTCAGAGTTTATCTTATTAGAGTTTATTGCATGTAATGTGATTGCACAAGCTTGTTCCTTCTGCAAGTAAAAGCTATGTACAGCTGAAGGTCTGCGACTGACTTGTCACATTAAATATATCATTGATCTTTCAAATTACTTACTAAGGTCTACAATGTATTTTTTTTTTGATACAACTTAAAATTGCCCACAAAACCTCTATTAAGCCAAACTCGAGCAGGGGTGGGTGCTTTGCTGAGGGCTCAGACAGCTGTTCCTCTCTCCAGGTTCTGTTTGATCTCAGCTGTGTACTTCCCATAGAACCTCTCTGCCTTCTTGTTGAACTTGGCATTTCTCTCGTTGATGTAGTCAATGTCGGCGTCGTCATTGTAGGGCCGGCGCCTGCTGTACTTCTCGCGCTTCTCAATCCTGAAAGGCAAGTGGCACCCACAGTGAACCTGGGGGTGTGACTGCAGGAGGCCTCTCAATGGCACCTCTGTATCTACTTACTGCTTTTCAAGATCTGCGACCATTCTATCGACCCCTTCCTTGGTTGGCACATGAGTTCCATGGAGAAGACTGTCAGAGGTGGGATAAAGTGCTTCCCCACTGGAAAACAGGAAGAGACGGACAGCAGTTTACATACCACTCCAGGGGTTTACTGTAACAGCTCAAGGGGTTGGTGTTAAACCCACCCTCAGTGCAAGTGACACAACTCGGTAATGCCACACTTGAAGAAATGAACCTCAGCTCCTACACCTCACACGGGTGCTGCAAATTATGGGATCATGAGTTTTAAGATCATGTTAAAAGACTTAATTTATATCGCAGTGTATGAGAATATGCATGTGCTGAAAGGATTACTTTTAAATCTTTGGTGTTTGCTCATAATTTCAAAACACCACTGACAGCATCAGATGACAAATCGAAACTTACTACTGCTCCTTCAGCTTCTCGTACTCCTCCAGGTCAGGTTTGATCTGCCGGGTCAGCCTCTGGTACTGGCGCAGCTGAGCAGCTGCATAATCTGGGCAAGGAAATGGGTGGTGGTGAAGGTTTTTATTTGATGGTTCAGTTTGCAGCTAAAACACTAACAAAGGTGCTTGGTACAAACACAGTTACATGGTTAAGCTATTACCTGAAAATCCCAGATCTGGATTCTTCCTCTTCTTTTTCCTTTCCCACCTCTCTGCATCCTCAGCGCTGATCTCCAGCAGTTTAACTCGCTCGTAGTCCTCTCCTCTCGCTGCACATTCCTACCAGAGAACAACGCTTCAGTTGCAACAACAGCCAAGCATCAAGCTTAGTTACAACTACCTAGATGAGTCCAGCCAGCACCCTGGGCAGGACAGTAGTTCAGATACTCGGGAGTTTAATTAGGAGGTGGATTTCATTGCCTGTGTAAGCTCCCAAGGCTGCCTCACCACCACGAATGGGGCTCTGCACGGTGCACGGCCCGGGGCTCAGCAGGGCTGCAGGAGCTGTGCTCGTGCGCTTACCCTCTTCTTTTCCTCCACCTTCAGCTCCCACTCCAGCCGAGCTTTTTTGGCCTCCCAGTTCGGTGGCAATTTGAGTCTTTTATCTTCTTCCACCACTTCCTGGTGGTTCAGCTTGCGAGCCTCGTTCTAGGCACAGAGTGGTTCGTTACACATGGTGAGACCCGATCGGAACCCCCGCGCTGCAGGAGCCCGGCCCGGGACAGGGCCAGGCCACCCCAACC